TTGGGAGTAAATTTTTAATGTATGGAGATAAAATGTGGTGTAAATGAGAATAAATTTAATGTTAAATAATACTGCTAGTTGTACTGCAATTGCAGCAGCAATTAAGGCTGAGAAATTTTTTAACTGAACACTTATTTACATCAAACTAGGCTTTTTTTCTGATCAGTAGGTTCCCAAATTAGGTTGCAGGTGGAGGAGAGGGCCTCCAGATCTGAGTGTAGCTGCAAGTTTATTTAATCAGCAGTTGCAGACAGCTGACAAGGAGTGATCTTTCACCTTGGAAGTTGGGTAGGCTGCTAACAACTCCCCACCATAAAAGAACTTGATGTTACAAAATTCTACACAGGGCCTGAGGCTTGGCCAGATTATTTATCTTCTGTGGAGGTTGACTTCAAACATAGATTAAATTAATGGGTATCAGTGTGGATTTCAACATAATTGATCACATATTCTGCATTTGTCAGATACTGGATAAAATATGGGTATACAATGGGTACCGTACATCAGCTATACGTGAACTTCAGGAAGGCCTGTAATTCAGTGAGGTGGGAAGTATTATACAACATTCTCATTGAATTTGGTATACCAATGAAACTTGTTGGGCTAACTACCATGTGTTTAAATTAAGCTTAAAATAAATGTGACATTTGAATTCCTCAGTTATGAAGATGTAGTGTTATTCTTTTGGGTTGTGATATTATGTGGACTCAGGTAGACACCAACATTTTTGAGAAACACAGTCTTCATATATGATTTGAAGCTTTCACAGTAACATAACTCAAAATCTTCTCAGGTGATCAGCCGTGCCAAATAGTTAAAAGAAGAAACCGAAGTTTCAGAGATGGTCCCTGGAACGTTGGTTTCTTCTTTTAACCATTTGACGCGGCTGATTGTCCAAGATATTTTCATCTGCATGGCAGAAGACAATATGTTTCTCCAAAATATTGGTAGCTAGCTGTGATTCCACATAATGTCAACCCAGAACATCAGCAACCCATAGTAAAATCTCTATAGGTAAACATTTGTTGCTTTTCTTGTTCAGAGTGTTTTATGATGATTGCTATTTAACTTTGCATTAGGATACTCCATCAGGAAAGTCCAAGAAAACAAAGATAGATTGGAATTCAGTTAGACACATCAGCTTCTGGTCTCTGTTTATGATGTTAATTTATTGGGTAAGACATGATACAGCAGCTCTGTAGAGTCTAGTAAGGAAGTTTGTCTACAAGTAAACACACAAAGAAACTAAGAACATGGTCATGTCTTACCACCAGACTACATGACAAAATAATTTCTGAAGATAAATAATAAATACTTTAAAATGTGGCAAGTTTCAAATATTTGGGAACAGTGGTAACAAATCATTATAGCATTCATGATTAAATTAATAGCAGACTGAATTTGGGGAATGCTTGATACCTTGCAGTTCTGAATCTTTTGTCTTCTCATCTGCTATCTAAAAACACAAAGATCACACCATACAAACTGTAAATTTTTGTCTTGTTTTTTATGGGTATGGAACTTTGTTTCTCACATTAAAGGAAAAATAGGGATTGGGTGTATTTGAGAACAGAGTGCTTAGGTGAATATTTCGACCTAAGAAAGATGAAGTGACAGGAGGCTGGAAAGAACTACATAATAAGGAACTCCTCACCAAATATTAGAACGTATGAATGAAGGTGGCTCAGATGGGCAGGGCATGTAGTGCACATGGGATCCAATAAGAAATGTTCAACATTTTGGTTGGGAAAGCCTGAAAGGAATTGACCACTCAGAAGACCTAGACATAAATGGGACTGTAATATAAAAATGGATCTTAAGGAATTGGGTGTGAAGGGCATGGGCTGGATTAATCTTGGTCGGGATAGGGCATGACAGTGAATCTTCAGAGTCCATGAAGGAGAATTTCTTGGCTAGCTGAGCATACTGTTAGCTTCTCAAGAAGGACTTTGCTTCATAGTGTTAATAGTTGCCCACATTTTCAGTGTATTATATTTAGAACATTGAATATTTTAGGAGGTAAAACAGTAACTTCACATCATATATATTGACAAGAATATATTTTCTTTATTAGTTTTTAAAATGTATTCCAGTAGTATAAAAAAGAATCTTAGACCTGATGTGCTACATGTAGTGTAGGTAACTTTATTACTACTAAGATGAAATTGTATCAGATTATCTGTTTATATGTATTATATACGTGTTAATTAGCATATCGTGTCATTAGCAAACACCTCAGGTACATGGTATATAGAATATACTAACCTTGAAGAACCAGTGTCTGTTTAAATGTACATTCTGCTAAGTAAATACTTCCAGGAACATGTGTCAAAAACTGAACATCAAGATTATGGTTGGAGAAACAGTGGTATATGTATAGATTGTGGCACCACATGTGTTATCCATTAGCAGCCTTTGTAACAAACTACTATGAATAAAATAGCAGCCATATCTGGGTTTCTGAAAATAAAATAACCTGTAGGATATTTACAATTAAAGACAGTGACAAATTTGGGTTTTGTCTTAATTTGTGAATTAAAATTATCTGTATTCCAAGACCTGCCATCTGCCTTGTCAAAAATTAAGTCTTTTATGTACAAGGGGATCCAGTTGACTGGTACCCTGTCATTTGGGTCCAGATTTGCAGTTTTGCTGTGGATGCTCCTCTGACTACCTGGCCAAAATGTTAGGTGTTGACACTCCACTGTTTGATTATGACACATATTTCTATTTTATACTCTTTTCACTGTTATTTCATAAGTCTCATAAAAGGAGTTGCACTTCAGTTGTCCATGATGGCTCAGCTGTCTGATTGTCTCCTCCACATGAGACTTTATTAGGTGCCATCCTACAGTAATGGTGTATCCCAATAACACAGTACAGAATTTACTAATATGTCAGAAAACTCTTGAGTAAATACATTTTTAAGGATGTCAAACATATTGAAAGGAATATTTGAGATTTGAGGTTCTCATGGTGTTGAAGGTGTCAGTGATGGTCTTCTGGGTTGTAACACCATGTAGGATTGTAGGTAGATATCATCATTTTGGAGATGACAGTGTTGGTCTTTTGTATTGTGTTACTGTGAGGACTTGTGGGTAGGTACGAATGTTTTGGAGAAACATATTTTAGCCCTGGATATGGGAGAAATTGATTCTTAGAAACATTGGTATTCATCTGTAAGTTCACGCAGCATTACATCCCAGAGAACCAATATTGACGAAACTAATTTTTTGTCTTTTGACAGTGTTTTGCATGGTAAGTTATTTGTTGTTCTTGAAAGGCAAAGCTGATAATTAGTTGGAGATACTTTGAAATTTCAGTAATTCTCTTTTAATTGAATAATTGAGGAAAGGCAACCCCCCCAAAAAAGAAGCTTTTTGAAGTGTTCATTGCTAATATTCTGTTGTTGAACTCATTTTAATTGACATTATGTGAAACAAAAATGTAAACTACTTTTAACAATTACTGCATTACAGGCATAGTGCTTGACATACTACTGCTATGACTGCAATTTGTTTATCAGGTGCTTGAATTTCTTGTGGCCCATATTTTACTTGTACCTGATAATTGAATTGAATTTTACATGAACAGCTGCTTCACCTACTTGTAGCTAATACTGCACACAAAATTACTGTGTGAACTACTTTTCATCAGTATTTTGTATTAATTATTGGCGGGAGTACATTTAATTGTAACACTGGGTGAAACTGCTGAACTACTACTAGAATTACATGTGTACAACATTTTACATGGAACTAGTGCATGAAATACGGGTAAACCCCGATTTGCGCCGATTCAGAATAACGCCACTTTTGAAACCAGCAAGTCAAAAAGTGAGAAAAAATATTTTACTATTATTTATAACGTTTTACAATATTTCTCATACTGATTATTATATTAAATCGTAATTCTTACATCGCTGATTTTGAATAAAAATTATAAATACAAGTCACCTCTGCACTCATCGCTAAGTAGCTGCGAGATAATCTCCTAAAAATCACGATGAGTCATTTGCATTCATCCTGATAAGGGAGTAAGGAAAAATGCGCTCAGTTCGCTTCTTGTTGACACATTGAATGTGCTGAAAACTGTGTGTTAAGCGTGTTTGTGTTGTTCGACCACTATTCTGCAGTAACAACTGTTTTATATTCATAAATTGTAGAAGAGCCACCATGTCTGGTAAGAGAAGTGAATGTGTTGCTAAAAAGTTGCGTAGGTCTATTGCGTTAGAAGGTAAGATGGACGTAATTCGTAGAATAGAAGGTGGTGATACCCGTCGTAATGTGTGCAGAAGTATGAAGTTGCCTCCTTCCACTGTGACTACCATAATGAAAAATTCATATAAAATAAAACAGTCAATGCAACAGGCTACGAGAGTAAGTGCAACGCACGTGAGTTATAGCAGAAGTAAACTTTTAGAAAGAATGGAGGAATTACTGTTGCTATGGGTGGATGACATGCATCGAAAAAACATTCCCTTGACTGAAATTGCTATCACGGATAAGGCGAAGTCAATTTTTGAGGAACTTTATTCGTCAGTGTTTGGGTGCCAGGAACGCATGTCATTGACTTCCCATTGATTTACATTATTAAAAGAGGTTCAAATTACACCGGTTCATCCAGGAACGCATCCCCGTCGCAAATAGGGGTTTACCTGTACTATTAATTACCATCTTACATGAAGTTAAAAATTAACATTAAGTAACATATCACTGATGACCTGCTTATGATTGAACTAATAATGAACATGAAATTATTGCTTGAACTAATTGTCAGTATTCCTTACAAAACGTCTGCTGCTTAACTAATGTCCCACATGTAACTGCTGCTTGAACTACTTAATCACTTGCACCTCTTGCAGGTGTAATCGTAAAGGAAACTATTTTATATGGTTTGGCATTGCTGCGTGAGCAAAAGAGTATGGTTTGAAGTTTTGTTGCATTATGAATATTTACATCTGCTCATAAAGTGATTAATGTAGTGTGTGCTGGTTATAGGGCCTCAGCCACAGCGAACAGAAGTCTTCCAGACATTCCAATTGATTCAGAAAGAATCCAGTTGGAAAGTGGTGAAACCTTGTGGGAGAGCAATGAACCGAACGGAGACACAAGCTCTGAACTGTATGCTACTGTAGAAGAGAACAAGCATGTTACACAGCCACAGGGTGACTATCATAGGATCTCTGCTTTGAGTATTGCTGTCATTTTCATTGTTTCTACTGACATGTGCTTCTTAATTCTACTTGATTACATTTTAATTATGTGCTGAGGCTCATCAAACATCAAAGCTTAGTTGTTAATAATATTGTCTCATATCTCTATAAGTCTGGGGCCCTGAAATCAGGGAGTATGGAATTAGAGAATTATAAGTTAGACTTAGTGGCAGTGCAGGAAGTGGGAGGGGAAGGCACGATCCCTGTGGACAATTTCACATTTTTCTATCGAAAGGGGAATGACAATCATCAGTTAGGGATGGGTTAAGAAAGTAGAATTTGTTAGTGACAGGTTGTCTTACGTAAATTTGGAAGGACGTTGGTGCGACATCATTGTCCTTAATGTTCATGGCCCAACTGAGGACAAAAGCGATGATATCAAGGATAGCTTTTATGAAGAATTGGAATCAGTATTTGATACATTTGGCAAGTATCACATGAAAATTCTGCTAGGAGATTTCAATGCAAAAATAGGGAGGGAGGATGTCTTCAAACCCACAATAGGCAGCGAGAGTCTCCATGCACGTAGTAATGATAATGGCGTCAGAGCAGTGACCTTCGCTACGTCAAAAGATTTAATTGTAAAAAGTACAAAATTTCCACACCGTGATGTTCATAAATACACTTGGACTTCCCCAGATGGCAGAACACACAATCAAATAGATCATGTTTTAGTAGAGAAGAGAAGGCAGACAAATGTAATTGATGTGAGATCATTCAGAGGAGCAGATTGCGACAGTGACCATTATTTGGTGGTAGCAAAAGTGAGGGAGCGGCTTTCAGTAAGTAGACGAACTAAGCAAAATTTTGACATGGAAAGATTTTATTTGAAAAAATTAAGTGAGGGAGAGGCAAAGGAACAATATCAAGTTGAAATTTCGAATAGGTTTCAAATTTTAGAGACAAATGAGGATAATGAAAGTGTGGACATCAACAGGGAGTGGGAAAATGTCAGAAACTGCATCAAAATTTCAGCAAAAGAGAAACTAGGATACTACAGGAGAAAGCAAAATAAACCGTGGTTTGATGAAGAATGTTCAAAATTAATAGATCGAAGGAAGCAAACAAAATTTCAATGGTTGCAGAACCCAAACAAAACAAATGCGGATAATCTATGTAACGTGAGACGTGAGGCTAGTAGAACCTTTAGGACTAAGAAAAGGGAATACCTGAAGGGCAAAATTGCTGAACTTGAGACAAATAATAAGGAAAAAAACATCAGAGACCTGTACAGAGGCATTAATAACTTTAAGAAAGGATATCAACCCCAGACTAATTTGGTAAAGGATGATAGTGGCAATTTGCTTGCAGATCCAATAAAAATTGTGAATAGGTGGAAAAATTTCTTTAGCGAGCTCTTAAATGTTCATAATACTGGTGATATTAGACAGATTAAAATGCATACAGCTGAACTGTTGGTGCCAGAACCTAGCTTAGATGAAGTGGAACTAGCCATTGGGAAGTTGAAAAGTTATAAATCTCCAGGAATTGATCAGATTCCGGCCGAATTAATTAAAGCAGGTGGCAAAGGGTTGCATATGAGGATCCATAAGCTTATTCAGTTAATTTGGGATAAGGAAGAGATGCCACATCAATGGAAGGAATCCATAATTATTCCTATTTATAAGAAGGGGGACAAGACTGAGTGTGGTAATTACCGAGGAATATCGCTGCTATCAACCTCATACAAAATTCTATCCAACATTCTTTTGGCAAGATTAACCCCATATGCGAATGAAACTATTGGGGATCATCAGTGTGGGTTCAGACGAAACAGATCAACGATTGATCAGATCTTTTGCATTCGTCAGATACTAGAGAAAAAATGGGAGTTCGGTGGGACTGTACATCAGTTATTTATAGATTTCAAAAAAGCCTATGACTCTGTGAAGAGAGAAGTGCTATATAATATTCTTATTGAATTTGGTATACCAAAGAAGCTAGTGGGTCTAATAAAAATGTGCTTAAATGAAACCTGCAGCAAAATTCGAGTAGGTAAATATGTATCTGAGACATTCCTCATCAAGAACGGTCTAAAACAAGGAGATGCTTTGTCTCCCTTGCTCTTTAACTTTGCGCTAGAATACGCCATCAGGAAGGTCCAAGGTAGGCAGGAGGGTTTGCAATTGAACGGGACACATCAGCTATTGGCATATGCTGATGATGTTAATTTATTGGGGGACGATATAAATACAATAAAGAGGAACGCAGAAGTTTTACTAGAGGCTGGTAGACAAGTGGGGCTGGAAGTAAATTCAGAAAAAACTAAGTACATGTTAGTATCTCGTCATCAGAAGACAGGCGGGCAAAATTATCTTAGGGTAGCTAATAAATCCTTTGAAAGGGTTACAAAGTTCAAATATTTGGGAACAACAATAATTATTATTATTATTATTATTCAGTGTTCTGTCTTACGACAGGTCCATTGCTCTGCCCAAAAAGAGCTCTCCAGTTGTCCCTATTCTCGGCTTCTCATTTTAATTCCTGGAACGTCATATTCTTTCCTTGAACAACAAAATAACAAATCAAAATGACACTCATGAGGAAGTTAGGAGGAGATTAAATTCCAGTTCAAAATATTTTGTCTTCCCGTCTGATTTCTAAGAACCTGAAAATTAAAGTATACAAAACAATAATTTTGCCTGTTGTTTTGTATGGGTGCGAAACATGGTCTCTCACTCAGAGGGAGGAACATAGATTGCAGGTGTTTGAGAACAGGGTGTTGAGGAGGATATTTTGGCCTAGGAGAGAAGACGATGGGACATGGAGAAAGCAGCATAAAGATGAACTTAAAAATCTGTACTCCTCCCCCAGTATTGTCAGGGGGATTAAGTCGAGAAGACTGAGATGGGCGGGGCATGTAGCGTGCATGGATGGGACAAGAGGTGTGCACCGGGTATTGGTTGGGGAGCCTGAGGGGAAGAGGCCACTGGGGAGACCTAGACGTAGATGGGAGGATAATATCCGGCGGGATCTATGGGAGATAGGAGTTGAAGGAGACTGGATTTTGTTGGCCCAGGACAGGGTCTGGTGGAGGGCTTTGGTTAATTCGGTGATGAACCTTTGGGTTCGGTAAGCCATCTAGTTAGTTGGTTAGTTATTGTCTCATATTTGAGAGGCCCATAACTCAGATTTATGCCTGGAAACATATATCCTGATTTTTACTCAGGTCCTCCCGGCAATTGCTGTGTTAATACCCCAATATACTTATTGAAAATCAGCCTTGTATGGCAGTACAAACGTTTTCTCTGTGTGTGTGTGTGTGTTTGTACATGCTCCTGTATGTGCAAGCATATGTGGATGCCCTTTATATCTTTCAGAAAATCTGATTTTCATGAACATTGGAAGGAAGATTACCTAAATGTCATATCTCTTAAATTTCTACCTTCAATTATAGCATTTTGTGAGCCATCTGAACTTCCAACATTCAAGTAATGTAGGATTTTGTGAATTTCCTGCATAATATGTTTACAAATATGCAGCATTTGTATCAACCTTTCATGTACCAAATCAAAAACAAAAATATGGTAAATGTACTAAATATTTATGTTGAACCTTGATAATTAGAAGTCTGATGTACATTGTGGTGAGAAATATAAACAAGATTACGAATTTTCATGTTATATATGTTGCAGTCCAAACACTAGTAAATGATCTGTGTCTGAAGGTCAGTTTATGTTTCTTTATTTCCTAACAAGCTTTCCTCTTTTCATTATATTAAATGGTATTGATTTCAGCAACAAGAATAGCCATTGGTGCCAACCAGAAGTGCTCTCTGCAAGATGGCCTTACAGATGAAAGCAAGAGCAGTGAGCACAGTTCCTTGAGTCAGACAGATTACAGTGTTTCTCCGTATGCACATCTCAAAGCAGAGCATCCGTATGACAAACTGAGGAGTGAGTGTCAGATTACATGCAACAGGCACATCTCATACCATTATTTACATACATGAAAAATGACACTGTGTGCGTTGGTGTTGAATCACATGGAAATGTCATTGATCCATACTGGAGGGGGGGACTTATGGATAGTTGGTCTGGTGTTAGTTTTGGTTTGTCATTGAAGGAATATAAAGTTGTTTTTGTTTGATATCACTGGCATGAAAATCTTCTGTATATTTGTACTTGTTCATTTTAAAAGAGTGTGATTTAATAATTTCACCAAGCGAATTTACAAAGTAGTGTTTTAATCATGCGTACTTTTACTGTTCACTTTCCTACATTGATGTGGTAGAAATACCACAAGATTTATTTTACATTTCATTGTTGTATGTATTACATTTTGTTCCTGTGTAACTAGCACTGTGAAGGTTCAACACTGCTAATACCAAGGCCTGCCATTGACATGATCTAGAACCAGTTTCAACTATCTGTGATCCTAAAATCTTCATCTGTCTTTATGTTATTCTCCCATCTTTTCTTTCGGTCTTCCAAATGAATGTTTCCCAGGAGGTTTCTTTACCAAAATTTTGTATGCATTCCTCATCTCCCACCCCAACCACATGTCAAACCCATGCTGGCCACCTCGAGTTCACATTTCTAACAATACCAGGGGCCTGCATAAATCATTACAGTTACATTATGTATGCTTAAAGTTAACATTATTATTTTGTGTTGTATGTGCTGTTCAGGTGAACACCCATATGCACAAGTTGGAGCAAATAATGTGCTGGACAGCACCATCTATGACTTGACTCTTGGTTATGGAAATCGTCAACCTTCTGTGCCGTAAGTATAAAAAAAATTGTAACTTTCCCTCTCCTGCACAATAAACCACATTTATTTTTATTTAGGTTGTGATAAATTGTGTGATTGTGTAACCATTTTCAGCTTGCTCTAACATGTGCATGTTAGTGACAGTCACAGGTTGAAAAACCCACTTGCCAGTTTACTTTGAAGGAAGTAGAATTTGCCTTCAGTTCTTTAATTTTCTTTCAGATTTTCATCTCTTTGTTCTGGCATTATTTTAGGCCCCCCCCCCAGCAAGGGATGATATCTTGTGCTTGTGCAGGACCCAACCCTTAGCTTTTTGGTTTGTCTCCAGCAGCTTCAGTACCCATGAGGACGACGAAGATTCTCGAAACGATGTTTTTTGCATTAAACCACCTGACATGGCTGGTAGCTCTAGAAGAATTCATTATACTTAGTTGCCGTGAAGGCTTCAGATATCTACAGTGTTATTTGGCAGAGTGTGTGTAATAAAATGTTGTCTGTTCAGCAAACAATTGTTAGCATTTATTTTCATCTATATGATATAATCAAATCCACATTTGAAAAACCTATGTTGGAGGAGGGTTTATTGTATCTTCTCTTTGGAACATGATTTCAATTATGGAAAGAATGAAGCAAACAAACAAATAAACAGCTGTCTTTTCTTTACTTAATACATATTCTGAATGTTTCTTTTTGTTTTTTAAATGATGATAGACATGAAATAACATACAACTTATTAGTTTCTTTGGAAGTTGTGCCACACTAATTGTCAAAATGCTAGTTATGGTCAGAGATGATAAGATCCATTATGAATTGCATCACCATTGGATGATGAAACAGGTTGGCTGAAGAACAGGTGCATCTATTTTATGTTCCTGATTCAGATTTTTGGCCAGACCACTGATTGTCATAATCAAGATTTTGCTAACCTACTCATTTCTTAAAAATGAATTCCAAGTCAATTTTTGGCATTGGTCATAACTCCTTTCTCCACAGTTCTTCCTGATTCATATATGTATTCATAATTTCATCCAATATCCTTCTTTTGTTAAGTAACCTTTAATCAACTGCCTGAAGAATAGATGGATGATTCTAAAACCCTTCCAGCATCAAACTCTTTGCTTTATAATTATTATATAAACATTATACAATATATTTTGTTTTGGTAGTCTTTTGATGTTGCAAGTGGACATTGAAAAATATCTGTTAATTTACACAGGGACATGTTTATGTGTGTACAGGAGTGAGGACTCTCAGTCATTGCACCCCAGTACAAGTGGTGACAACACTCCAAGGCCTTTATCCTGTCAGGCAGGGACTTCGACCAACCCTGTGCCTCCACCAAGAACAAGAAAGTCCTCTTCCCATAACTCCCTTTTGCTGGCACCATCTGCAACAATACTCCCAGGTTCAGTGCCCAACATCCAAGCAGCAACAGCTATAGCAGGCTGGGTATCTGCTAACCAGGAATTACCTTACATGACTCCTCCAATCCCAGCTCCAGAGATGAACCCACCACAGCAGGAACAAGTGAACTTCAGTGGTGACTCCCAGGACTCCAGTGAGTTATTGGCTGGCCAGCTGTTGAATTCCATGATTTTTAGCTGACTGAAGGAAATGCCCATAACTGCATTCTATTCTGAACAATTTCTATTCAGTTCATATAATTAAAAACTTATTTTTTTGCAACCTGTTATATTATTACCCTCCTTTTATATTCTAGACTCCAAAGTACCCTCTCCATATTTGTCTTTGTGCATTTGTTTTCCTCAATTTCCCTGTTATCTTCACCATATTTATTCAATTGCCTTAACCCTTGAAAGCCCAAATGATTTTTATGCTTCAAGAGAGTAGTTAATTTTTTAATATTTGTGGTATTTAGTTGGACATGTAATTTTTTTCTCATAATTATCGAAACATGTATGACAGTGTGGTAGCTGGACTTGAGTGTGCTGATTGGAGGTTAAAAATGTACTGAAATTAATTATGACCATATACCACTGCAGTCCTACAAAGGATTAACAGTACTGTTTGAATAAATGAAGTGCATGAAAGCACATTTTCCAATTATACCAATATAATTTTGCTTTAGTGAATATGTTATCCTTGATTCTTTTTAACAGTTTCAAATGTTCTTCTCCCAGTGTCAGAACCAACACAGTTTGACTTGATGTATTTTATTTAATAACAAGACTAAATGTTGCAGTCTGTGTGCTAATATACTGGCCACTGTTTATTACAGAGGGCTATACAAGTATCAGTGTGAGAGAACCACTTGCAAATATAAAAGCACGAACCAAAGTGCCAAATCAGAGGAGCAGAACTCAGGAGCTGGTGGATTCCCATTATGCCACAGTATCAGATGATTCTGGTGAGTATGTTGACAACCATTCCTGGGTAAATGAGAGTTTGTGGACTCCCACTTACACAGAGGTATACATGAATTTGTATACTCTTTCTGTCAGGTAATTAAGAAGAATTGGTTGATAGATAGTTTGGATGAATTGATTTACTCTATATGGTATGTAATATAATCAAACCAGACCTCCTCTCATATACCAGAGTCAAATCTCAGTACAGTAGGAAGTGGTCAGATAATTATGTATGTGTGTAAATAATGGGGTGTGTGTCATGTGACCCCTTTCACTATGACCATTAGCTGATCTTATCTGCATCCTCCTCCTTCTGATCTGTCAGCAGTCCTGATTCCAGAAAATGTCTGGCCAAGTGGTGAAATTGTTAATCTGGTGGCCATAGTCAAGGCTTCCCTGTAGATCCCAGGTCTCATAGAGTCTCTGAGTCTTTGAAGAGAATTAACCAGGGTACTGGCCTCAGACCTGGACCTTTTAGGCACTCTGGTCAGGGCCTACCTGGATTTCGCTAGTGCGACATACCCCAGTTGCCATAAGCCCCTGGTATATCTTTGGTAAGGTATGCCTATAGAACAGTTGTCTCAGAATCACTGGGTTCGGTTATGCTGTGAGCTCCCCAAGGGGGTATGCCAGAACTGCTGGCTTTCTTCTGGTAGCGATCAACTTTGAAGTAAAACCTCCAAAGTTGTTAAGTTGTGATTTGACTGTACCTAGACTGCTTGCATTTTACTGCTAATATGTTACAAAGCTGATGCGATAAGAGCAGCTAAGTAATAAAGTGTTTAAACAAGTGGCAAACTTTATATATCTTGAAACAGTAACAGATAAAGTTGAAGTCTCAGAAAAGTTAAGAGCAGAATAAATATCAGGAATGCATGCTACCATGCAGTTTAGAATTTGTCTTCTCTTCTTTCTAAAAATGTGAAGATTAAAATATACAGTTGTTGTTGTTGTTTTGTGTGGGTGTGAAGTTTTACCTCTCACATTAAAGAAAGGACACAGACCAAGGATGTTTAAGAACTGGATGCTGAGGAGAATATTTGGATTTGAGTAGGATGAAGTGACTGGGGGCTGGAGAAAATTGCATAATGGACTTCATAATTTGTACTCCTCAAGAAGTATTACTAACATGACATCCTCTTTCCATTATATGTGCAATTGCTGTGCCCCTGATTCTTGCCGAGTTATTAGGGTATCACCCTGTACATCTTGTAGGGTTGCCCTGTATAGGATACTTTCTTGTAGTGTTTAAATGAATGTTTATATATTTCCAAGAGAACAACAGGGGTCTGCAGTGGCCACACGGTCTGAGGCGTGGGCCTTGTGCCGCTTGGTCACTGGGACCGTGGGTTCAAATCCCACTCAAGCCATGGATGTTGTCCTGTGTACAGGTAGAGGCCTTGCGACGGGCTGATCCCTCGTCCAAGGAGTCCTACCGAATGTCTGTTGATCAAGCCAACGAAAATTTGGGACCCACAGTGTTCAGGCACTTGAAGAACGGGTCATTCCCAGTATCCCCCCAGTACCCAGAGAACAACAGTACAATAATTAGAGAATAATTATAGTTCTATAACAGTTTATTAAAATGTGATGTGGTCACAGCAATTTTTTTATTTTTGAACTTCTAATTTAGATGATTTGGGGTTTTCATGGTCACATATATGAAGATCACTCCTCTGGGATTTATCTCCATATAGTCTGGTAGGTATTGACCAAACTTTTAGAGGTGCTCATTACCTCCATCATTAGTGTGATCATGGGCATTATCTTCCTGAAAGTCAACCATTTTCCAAGTTAGATTTTTGGTTTTACCTTCTTGTACTTATTGACTGTAAAATAAGAATGTGAGAAAGGAAGGGACACTTACCAGGTGAAGGGTTCACAGAGACAGTGCTAGAAAGATAATGAAATATAGCTTACATATACTATGGGCTTCTTCAGAAACAATGGACATGATCTTGGACTTGCTTGTATGTTTTCTAGATGAGATGTACGCTGCAATAGATGAGCCAGGACAGGTGTATACAAGTGGAAGTGAAACATATGCTCAGATACAACCTTTGGCATTTCTGGAAGAAACTCCTGAATTGGCTTCTGACAGTTTGCAATATCCTCCACAGCCTCCAAGTGTTGACAGTTTGAAACAGGTGGCCCAAGTTCATTCTCGTCAAGGTTGGTACATTCTGTGGTTTCTTTAGGAGTGCCATGTTTTGTGAATGAATGCAGACAAATGTCGGGGTGTGCAATCTTTTTTAGAAATTAATAATGATTTGGCAAGTAAAGGAAATAATTCCCTGCATTTAAGGGACCAGAAGTTCATTACTGTATTTACAACATTTGGCCACTGCAATGTATTGTAAACTAGTTCAATTCATTCCACATCACTCCCTATATCTCAGAGACCTGTTTTGATATTATCCTTCCATCTATTCATAAGTTTTCTGATGTGACTTTTCCCTCAATATTTCCTTACCAGAATTGTTTATTTATCTCTTATTTTCTCATTGCATGCCAAATTTCCTGTCTATATCATCCTTGACTTAATCACCCTGACAGTGTTATATGAAGGATACGAATTATGCAGTTTTTCATTATGAATTTTTCTCCATCCTTGTTTCTGTTTATGGAGAGATATTTATAATTTACAAAAATTTACTATCTTCAAGATTCTGAACAAGATTTTAATGTTCCAATTATTGGCCTGTTATAAAAAGTGAGAGAAAATATTCATTTTTCCTTTCAAAGCAAGTTTTGGAAGTTTATGTGAATGAGGTTTAAACTAATCAGCGACAAATATTGTACATGTATATAGTCGTTCCATTTCAAGACATTTGTTTCTGTCAAAAAATGCACAAAATAAACTGACGCTGTGGTAACAGAACCTGATGGTTCAATACCAGTTCACATCCTCAAACCTGATACTCTAAGATCCATTTTTAAGTCTTGCAACCTAATTGGTCTTTCTAATGGTCACTTTTTGAGAGGTTTCTCCACTGTGTTCTGTGTGCTTTTTTGTCTTCCTGATTCAAGCTACATGTCCAGTCCACAATGTGTTATTGTGATTTGCAGCTTCTTCATCGAGTGCTGCCAGTTCCGTCGCAAACCTCGGCTCCCCAAAACCTGAGAAACGGCAGGCCAACTCCCCGTTGCCACCACCTCCTGCTAGCAGCCCTGATCTGTACGCTGTTGTAGATAAAAAGAGCAGTGCAGGTCTGGCTGTAAGTCGTAACCTTGAGGAGATGTATGCAAAGGTGATGAAGAAGAAGCAGCGGGGTGTTGGACCAGATATGGATCAAGGTCGGCAACCAGGCACAAGTTTGCCGGAACACGCAGACAACTTGAGCCATGCTTCCATCGATACAGTCTCAAGTCATGGATCTCCAGAGTTACGAAGTCAACAAGAACCAGATGGCATCTCTGCATGTAGCTCAGATCATGACCCTGTTGTGGGACTTGGTTCTGCAACCAGGCAACTTCTCCCATCCTATGATGTGCTCCATAGTTCACCATCTCATCAGTTTCTAATGCCAACTGATGTTGTAGACCCAAATTATGAGAGTCTTGGTGGACCCAGCAGCATTGATACTTCTTACCATGACCCAGGTTATGAAGTGGTGCAGCAGCATCTCTCAGATTGTGATCCAAATTATGAGGAACTCTGGCCTCAGTCCAGGGACTCTCCAGCGACAAATTTGAAGGTGAATTTTGTCCACACAGACAGTGTAAGTCATCCTGTGGAGGCTAGCACAAACAAAAATGGCCAGCTTGAGGCACCAGGTAGGTTAGGTATTGATCCAGGATATGAGCAAGTGAGGTCTGGTGCAAACCAGATCCCAAAGGACAGTGAGTCAGGACCACATTCTATTGATAGGCTGGATCCAGGTTATGAAAAAGTGAGGTCTGCTGTGCAGGAAATGAGCTATATGAGTGTAAATAAGTGTGGTTCTTTAAATCAGGGAGCCAAACACGTTGCAGATGCAGATTATGCCAGTGTAGTGACGAACAACAATGCAGTGCAACCTGATCCAGGGTATGAGCAGGTCAAATCTCAGAATGGAAGTGACTGGGAAAATCATGCCACAAACAAACACAGTAACAGCAGTGAAGACGATTTCCCAGGGTATGATCAGGTCACCTTGCAAGACAGATGCAGCGGTTCCTTCTTCAGCGTCTTGAGGGACGGTGACAACCAGTTGACGAATTCCCACCCCAGTTACGAGAGAGTGCACTCAAAAGGGTCAAGTGATGCAGATACATATAGTGGCCCAGAGCCAGACTATGCCAGTGTAGACAGGAAAAGGGATCCTGAACCAAATTATGAAAGCATGTCAAGTGAAGGGCAAGACATGCTCTCTAGCACAGTAGATGACCCAAACTATGAAAGTGTCAGTTACTTTGATTTACCATGTGACCCACCATATGAGAGATTACACAATGAAATCAGAGACTCAGATGGTGCATCTTCAGGATATGAAAAGGTCAAGGATCACAGTGATCTTTCTGTTGGTGGTCCTGATGAAAAACAGCTGAAAGGCAGTTATTTGGAACCAGGGTATGAGGAAGTGGGCATGAGGTGGGACATTATTAATGGTGACTCTGCTGCAGGTTGTAACAGTTCCTTCAGCATGGAGTCACTCCTGCCAGAAAGTTCTTGCCATCTGAAGGAAGGCAATGGAAATTTGTGCCAACCTCAGCTCCAAACCAGCCCCACAAAAATGTAGCATTTGGTAAACACTAGATTAACCATCAGTTGGAATAGCCTCATAGACAATATTTTCTAGTATAAATAGATGTGAATTTTGGGAAATAATATTATATTGTATTTAATGCTCACTGTGTATAGTTAAGGAAAAATGTAGCTTTTAATTGACTGTAATATAAGCTCATACTGATCAATGCCTGTACAGTTTTGTAGTATTTTACACAGTGATGGTTACTTAGAAGTTGTGGAATATCTTCAGTTTTAACAAAGTGAAAGTGCCTAAATGCATCACATAAATAATGCAAGGACAGAGCATTTTATGCATCCTAGGAAATTGACCCCATCCCCAATGTAACTATTGTTCTGCAGTGAAGAGATGGTGAGTCAATTAGCAAGGCCTGCCCACATTTAATATGCAAATTAAGAACACCAGCATGATTTTCAGATTATTGTTACTGTTGTTTTATAGTCAGTTGAATTACTTGCAATTAATAAAGGTTTCCTTCTTATTTATTATGAACAGAAATGTATGGAACATAGTCACAGTGCAGTCTAAGGCATGGTCTTGGACTGCTCAAACATAGGAATCATGGTTTCAAATCCCACTCAAGGTATGTATGTTTGTCTGCAGTTTTCTTTGTTGTGCTGTCCTTTGTAGGTAGAGGCCTTCCAATGGGCTAATCCCCTTGTCCAAGGAATTCAACCAGAAGTCTGTAAAAGGATTTGTAGTTTCAGAAATTATTTTTGAATTGAAAGAGGCCAGAAGACCTAATCCATAAAAGCTGAAGAAAAAGAATAACAGAAATACAACTTTAAATAACAACACAATTGACATGGCACTCACCTCATTGATGGCATAGTATGTGATTATGCCCAGGGACAGCTTTACTGTAGTCATGGTGAATCTGTGCATTTAAGCTGTATTTTAAGTAAAATCATCACAGATTTAATAATAAAATACAACTTTTTGGAGATTGGAATCTATCTTTGTCTTCAGGTGAAACCTACTCTGTTGGGCCCAATCAATAGAGCTACTCCCTATCTCCAGACCAGAGTAGGTGACAATCTCTGAAATGTCGTGTTTTATTAAATATGGGACGATGAATAATGTCCAGAAAGTAGTTTTCTTTAAACTCTTACCGGTTTATCTTCTTCACAAAACAAACCAGAGCAAATTACAGTCCTATATATATGCCCCACTGTTATAACTCTTATCATCTCTAAAATGAATTAACATGCTTTCTTTCTGCTGTACTGATTTATTTGTTTATCAGAATCTGTTAGTTGAGAGAACAGCATTGTTTTAAATGGATGACTTCTATTCTGTTTCTTTACATACTACAAACTTACAAACTAATTAGTAAGTGAAATTTATAGCATACAGTATGATTTGAAATGTCTCTTAATTATGCAGGAATAGAATTCTCAAAAGAAACTGTCTGTTATTTTAACTTTAATTTATAAATCTAAGTCATGTATTCTTTAAGAAATGTAAATTCATAACAGCAGAATACAGTTTGAGTTAGCCTAATAGTAGCATATTAACTCTTTGCGGTCCCTTTTAAATACCACTACGGCTCTCTGCTCGTCTATTTAAATACCACTAAACCAGTGGTCCCTAACACGGTGCCCGCGGGTGTCATGGCGCCCGCCAAGCCTTTTTTGGGTGCCTGCGTTGTTACGGAAAGAGGTTATAATGAATAATGAAGGCTCTTCAACGATGAACATTATAAAATCAAAGCACAGATTTCGACTTACTGACGCCCATCTTGACGATTGTTTGCGAGCAGCAACATCATCCTACACTCCCAAATTTGAAAAACAGCCGATGAAATGCAGCGCCAAACATCACACTAACTTCCCACTTGAGTAATAATAATTGTACTTATAAAAGTACGTATTTTTGATTGCATGGTTTCTTGCGTCATTAACTGTGTTGTTTTGTGTATTATTTGGTGTCCATATCTTATTTGTCCAGAGAAAAGAAAATTTGGCTTTGTTAATTGGTTGGTGCCCGCCACGATCTCATAAACTCTCAAATGTGCAAAAAGGTTGGGAACCACTGCATTAAACTATATAAATTCAACTACTATTATGAACTGGTTTGATTTTCTTTTATAACTTGCATACAATGGAAGAAACTTTGCTAAATATGGTGAAAATACTTTATGAGAGGATGACAGTTCCTTTTGTTTGAATACTGTCTGTGAAATATTTTTCACAGACTGTACCACTGTTGCTAGTGAGATGTGTAATAATGGTGCCTTCCTGCTTGCTGTCATTTGGTAGAGAATAAAGCAAGCCCAAGTCTAAATATATCTTATTGCATGCAGATATATGATGTATAAGCATTGGATTTAATATTCACAGAGCTATGCTTCCTTTTGTGCTAATTGTTTTCCAAAGATCAAGACCAAGTTCAACACCATAAAAGTGAAACAGAACGCGAAGTGTAAACGATGAAGTCACTACACATAAAGAATGCTTGATAAGAAGACGAAATAGTATGCAGATGCCATTGGTGGATTGCTCTATGCATCAAAAATAATTAAAAAAATATAATTTCCTACTAGGAAGATGGGATATTTGTTTTATAACTTTATCAGATATAAAATACTCCTATTCTAAGTAAATATGATAGCTACACACATGATGATATTCCTTCACTATATGATATATGGCAAAACACTTGATGTGGAATCCTGGCTTCCTTCGACACGTCAGAATAAAACGACTTTTCTCTCCTTCCTCCTTTCACTATTATAAGGTACATGAAGTCTTACTAGGAAAACTAGGATAGAACTAGTGAAAAGAAAATATGCTGACACAGTTTGCCAGCCTCAGTTTGACTGCAGATCACGTAAAAAATTCATAAAATATTTGGCAGACTCAGTCCGACATAGGACCACAAAGGGTTAAACTTGTACACGTGGCAATGGGATTGGATTCTGGTCAAGTCAGAATTTTTATTGCATCATACAACTGTCATTTTTATTTTATGTTATCAAAGAATTACTGTACCTAAGTTATGTATTTTTTAAAGGCCTATTACTAAATATCACTGTATGACCCTATATGAAGAAGCACTAGTGTCACTCCCACCTCACAAGTTCATTCATCTGCCATCATGGAAATCAAGTGTTGGAAAAGGAGTTACAGTAGCCTCCACTGGCACAAAATCCTTATGCAGTTTTATGAAAATATTTCTAGCTTTTCTCAAGTTTAATTATGTGAACAGATAGACAAACAGACATTGTTAGCCCTACACTGTGCAAAAAATGCATAGATAATGGTATTTTCAATAATTTGTCACAATTAACTATCATGGCAACATCTCAGCAAGGTCTGAATCTTCCCTTCACCTTCATGCATGCTAATTTTATTTGGTTCAGTTCACATATGTAAGGTGGCAGTCTGAGAACTGAATGGCCATTCACTTATATTATTCATCAATGCAAGAAACTTCCATAACTTTTGAATTGTACTATTAGTCGGAACAGTTGCACTTTTTGCATTGTGCTATCAAAAGAGATATTTATTGCTGGCCAAGAAATCATTTAATATGTTAGGGCTTTGTTGGTACTTTAGTGTGGTCCACTGTACAATATGGAGCATTATCATTTAACATGTATACTGTTCACTGGAATACTGGGCATAAGTGTCCCACCCAGTTTTGTAAATTCATTTCATAGTGATAATTACCTGTCAATTGGTCAGGTTTGAAGATAAATATTACCCAAAAAGCCATTTTCAGAACCTATGTGCACAACTGCAGTATCCACCAAAAGTCAAACTTGGGTGTACTTAAGTTTATTGTGTTCCTGAAAGAAAAGTAGAATGATCAAGGACAACCAATTTTCCCAAACCACATACCATGTCATCTCATTGGAGAACACTGAAAAATTTTGTCTCTTAACAAAGAAAACTAAGAGTATTCTAGGACATTTTCCTTCACCTGTTAATTTAAACTTTTTATAAATATGATAAAACCATACATATATTGGAAACAGCTAATCTCCCTGAATAATAACAATGGCTGCAGTCATGGTATATAAACTGTAACCATCAGAGAACTGTGAGGTAATAAATTATATAACTGATAAAAATTGTAAATTAGGCTTTATGACCACAAAACAGCATTTCACTTTAAAACCACAACCCATAAAATGAAAATGATGAGATAGGTGGGGGCCAAAAATAAAAGTCAATATCAAAAAAAATTGTTATAAAATTCCAAGAAATGATAAAGAAGAACATTCAAGAAAATTATTACTATGTAGCAAATAAATTTCAGTGCACAAAATGGAACAGAATTAACAGTATTCCATATAAAATAAACAACTAAAATCTCGTAAATACTAAGCAATATATGTGCATAAGACAAGTGTAAGTTAGGTATGATTATGTAGGGTGGCAAGAAGAGGTCTGAAGGGATGGGCCATTTGGGATGGAGTGAGGTGGAGATTGAGCTGGATGAACTGGGGGCACACCCCAAACAGGAATCAGAGGTGGGGAGGAAGGCTGACTTCTACCCTCCATCTGCTTCCCCCCCACACCATCTGATGCATAATGGATATGTACTCTTCACCAAGTAATTTTAGGATTATCAAATCAAAAGGATGAGAAATTCATACAAAATTTTGGTTGGAAAGCCTGAATGGAGACCACTCAGAAGATCATTGTGTATGTGGGAGGAAGTATAAAAATGGATTTTAGGTAAATTGGTTTGGAGGTTGTGGATTGTATTCATCTGCCTTAGGATAAAGACAGATAACCTTTTACAAACACAGTAATGAACC